TCTGTTAGGAAAACCGCACTAGTGAGATATATCTGTAGTAATACTCACGCCGGCCGAGAGACGTTCGAAAAAGCCGCGAGGAAAGGTGGATTCGCTGATGATAGGACATCAACGAGCCGGCTAGGCGGCGAAATTGTCGGGCGGATCGACGGTATTTCCCGTGTGTCTGATGCTCGCTTCTGTCGTGTGTGTATGTGTGGCTGTGCCCTGTGCCTGTGGCTGTGTATGTCTGTGGTGATCGACGCGTGAGACTCCCGTATCACGTACACTCTTTCAGTGCAGGAAACTCGTGCTCGTTATCTGGCCACTTTTCTCGTGTCTCGTTTTTCTGTTCCTTTCCACTTCGTTTCTCTGTTCAACTCCATTTTCCGTCTCTTTCTTTCTCTTGGTTATTCGCTCACATACTCCCCCCCGTCTTTCTCTCTTTTTCTTTCTCTTCCTCTCTTTCTAACCGCTCTGTCTCTTTCTCGTTCTCGCGCGGCTGCTCACGCTGCCGCGTTGTATCTTCTCTCTGTTTCGATCCAGCCACCTCTCTTGCCGCGTTTTCACTGTTGCCGCTGCTCTTCCCGAACAACTATATATTTTTTTCTGTTCCGCGATGACCGCGCGACCAATAAAGGAAGGACTACGCGAGTGATTACCGTCGCAGGGGAACGAGAGGAAACTTTCGTGGAAATTGGACCGACGGTTTGAAGTCTGTGTTTTTGTTTACATAGACGCGAAACTGCCCACGCGACTACGGAAACGTCGAAGAGCAGGTTAAAAGCGTTCCCGTTCGACGAATACGCTGGTCGATGACGTTTTTACGCGATTGGTGAGTAACTGTTCTATTCGTTTATTGTCCGACGACGTCGCGTCGGAACGACGGTTGTCGTGCTTGCGAGTTTTCATGGAAAGCGTTTGAATCGCTGGGAAATTATGATTGACGGTTTTCGGGTGTATCAATGGGGATTCTCCGGTTTTGTTTTGAATATCGAAGAAACGTGACTCGCACGCAATAGAATTCTCCCTACCGTTTGGTGGGTGAAAGTGACGTAAGGTGTTTGAGAGGCAAAAGTAACGTTGTTACGGTACCGTAGATTTTTTATTTATTTTAAAATAAGGCAACCATTTGTGGTTAAAGGAAATATTACAATGTATGTGGATTAAATAAAATGGGAAAGTAATTTTAGCTGACAGAGTCTCTCGCTGGTAATGTGCTCCCGTTTTAAAAATTCTGTCGTTCCTGAAGATATCAGGAATCCTTTTAGTGGATTGACGAAGTGAGTTTGCGTACCTTCAATTTAAAAATGAAAGTAAATGTTCATCCTGGATAAGTGAATTAAATATTACTAATTGCTGTACGGTCAGGATATAAAATGTTCTTACTAATTATGAATTCTTTTCTAACTGAGAATACTGCCAAGTTTCAATTCATATTGTTCATATACAACGTCATTGTGAACTGAAAATGTAAATACGAAGAATTAAGGGGAATTTTTTGTTGCGTTCGTGATTGTTTGAATTAGAAGAATCTTTTATTACATGAGATAGATATGAAAATTGTTAATTTCACGGAGTTCTAAACAAATTAACTTTTTAAATCAATACAAGGTTAAGTTGTAAATAAGTATTTTATTTATTAAAATATTATTTCTCAATTATTATTTTTAAATGACATCTTCGATTGACATCGTGTTTCGAGTTTAAGAAACTTTTTATTAGAAACAAATGTTTTAATATTTTACTTTTTCTATTGAAAAGGGAAAGATTTTCTTTGACATTGACACTCATATGCACCGTGAGTATAGCAGAACAATACAGATCCTTAGAAAAATATAACTAATAATATTTGCAAGAGTACTATAAAAAGTTTCATTTATACCGTAGTCCCAAAATAATTCTAAATTTCTTTAATTTTTTTAGAATATTGCTGGTAACAGTTCTAGATTATTTCACATTTTGTATTAATAACTGTTGTATTTTTTATCTGCACATATTTGTTGCAACCGTGATGCAATGTTTCGAAAACAAGATAGAATTTCTGAAAATTTTGGGGATTTCAAAATACCAAATGTTAAACTTAAATATTATTTGATCTAATTTTACTTGTCTCGAGCTATTTCCAATTGAAAAAATTAAATTTTCTTATTTTGTTGTCCAAGAACCATGACATTCTTAATGGTTTAAATAATATTTCAATTACGTATGAAAAGAACAAGATTCATAAAGAAATTAGAATATGCAGTGATTTATAATTCTGAAGCGGTAACATCACCAAGATAGAGGAGAGAATATATTCTTGTGATCTAAGGAAACATTTTAGAAAATGATGTAAAACAACGTCCGCAGATATCAAAGTATTGGACCAATACCCAGAAGCTAAAACAAGAAAATCATAATAACTTGAGATTGCTCGATTTCTTTCATTTCTTAATTCCAATTTTCGTAGAATAACAATAGAAATCGAATCCCGTGAACTTATCCAATGAAACGTATATATATGTACATTTCATGGAAAATCTTATTCTAGAAATTCTTATCTTATTCTAGAAATATTATATACCAGAGAACTGCTATAGAAAGTGATTTATCGCGTGAATCGTGCAATTTATACTATGTTCTATGACAGTGGGTTCATTAATTACTTTCTAAAGACAAGCGGAGATTATTCATATCGTTGCTCGTAACATTTTTTATTGGAAACGTGTTGAAGCGTTCGCAGTATGTAGCTCGATGCGCAACACCGATCGTGAAAATGGTAATTTCATTGTATGAATATGTAGCGTCCATTCGTATCGGTCTGAATGAAAACTCCTAGTAAAATCATTTTTCTATTTTTCCATTATTGAATGGCGGGGAATTTAAATACGCCTTGATTCCGCGAAACGTATGCTTTCTTATCATGCGAGCGAGAATGAACCGATGTCCCGATCCTTTATTATTCACTCGATAGCGGCGGCATCGTCGTAGATCGTTTGTCACGCAAATGCCCGGAATATGGAATTACTGTAGCGCCATTGTGCTATTAGGTTTGCGTAGTTCCATTCCTATCGCGTGGACATTCACGGGGGAAACCTCTTTGCATAGTAAATATGACGTTCAGCGTATGAAACGCAGTCTTCTTTCTTTTAATGGACCTTCAGAGCTGCGCGCATTTTTCAAAGGGTGGTATTTTCCATTTATTATCGCGGAATACCACGGTTCCATGCATCATTAATCATTCAGGCATCGTTGTAAATTCATAAAATCTGTTAATGGATTCTGCTAGGGCTCTCATAACTCAAATGGTAACACTGGGACCTTATTTTATTAACAATAGGTTCATGGAACGCTCAGTCGGATATATTCTGAATTTTTCTGAGCATTATTTGCCAAATGTTTACGTCGATTTTTATTGAAACAATGAATACATGAATACGCGTCCTAACTGTCTATTCTTTTAAAAAATGTCTGAGATCTGAATGAACGAACATCAGCTTTTCTGGGAACAATGAAATGTTTACGATAAGTGTCTCTAAATCTAGTGTTACTTGAATGATGTTACCATGTATGGATAGGCTTCTTGTAAATTAAACAACGTAACACTTAATTAAAACTGGTGAGCAGCTATCTATCGATGAAATTGATTATCTAGAGATTGTATAAAATATTTATTGTTTTTTCTTGCAACGGTTATTGTGTTCAGATTAAAACAATGTTCAAAATTGAAATTCTTCGTTTAAAGCGAGAACATAAATGATGATAGTTATTTAACGCGCGTGTGCACGAAAAAATGACTTTGCAAACTGTAAATTGTACAAATATGTTAAACTCAATACAGAAAATTCGTTAATTCAATTATGAAAGTATTTATTAACTTTAAAGAGGGATTAATCACGTAGTTATTATTAATATATTTCTGACAGTTTGTATATCACGTGATAATGTATGCAAAGAAAATCTTTGTAATTACAAGAAGAAATTGCGCATGATTGGCGGCGTCGTACTTCGACGAGTTTACTGCGATCCGAACTGATTTTTTTCTCGCGATAAAACGTTATCGGAGTGTCGGAATTATTTGAACACGTGAAATTAACCTACTTATTTACCAACAAATTTAAAGAAAGTTTGATTGCCGTTGGAAACAATGTTCACAATTTAATGAACCCTTCACTTAGTTAATCAATTTTAGAGAAATTTTCGTTCCAGTGAACGTTGGTATTCGGTCAGTTATTTGTATCATGTCAATGCATAATCATTCATGGGATGTGAATATTTTTTATCCTAACGGTTTGAATTTTTTCAATAAATTAGCTTCGTTATGAGTTTTTTAACACTGGAATAACTGCAGCCGTAATAATTATACGAAATAGTAATATTAGCGGCAATATGTAAATCTGTAGGATATTAAAGAAATTCTGAAATTAGCGAACATTTACTGTTATGTTTCTGCTTCTTATTTTAATAATACGATTAGTAATGCAACTAACATAACTTCAAGTATTAAACATTTTTTAATGACATTTCAAAAAGATTGCACCCAATTATTTGTTCTTGCGTGTTTTGCATCGTCGCGGTAGTTCGCTACAAACATTTTCGCTCAACTCCTCTCGCAAAGAGGAATTTAATGGCTTGAAGCTGCTCTAGAAGTTGTTGAAATTCTTCAAAGGTCCTTTACTGAAAAAGTGATTGAAGTGGAAATTTAAATTATAATGTTTCAGCATTGATGAAAACATATTAATGCGTGGCACACTACAATTGTGATTGTATAGTTGTCGTCACTCTATTTTTTATGTTCACATAAGAAATATATCATTATATTGATTTAACATAAAGTTTTTGAACGTAAAGTTTCTATTGAATAGTAAATACTAGAAGAACACTACTTTGTCTGTTAAATGAACTAGAAAATGAAGTGAATTAATTTCAATTCTTTTATTATTTTCATGTTTTATACCTTAACGCTAAAACTATTGAGCAGGTCAGATTGATCCAGTTCGGAATCTTTATTTTGCAAGTACTTAACCCTTTGTACTCGAAGCTTTTTCTTACTGATCTTACCAGCAACTAGAAGTAATTTTAATGGATAAAACGAATTATCATATAAATAAATGATACGCATATGAAAAGAAAAGTCATAGATGTATTTTACTGTTTTTTATCGATTATAGATATAAATGTTATAACATATTTAATGACAAAATTTTATAGTTTGTAATGATGAATTTTAAATGGCTCTATTCCCGAGTCCTCGAGTTCAAAGAGTTAAATTACGAAGGCCTTGTTTTGTAAAAGATTTTTAACTAAATTTGGGTATTTGTATAGATACAAGATTAGGAGACCCTTCGAATCTCAAAAAAACGGGTTGTTCTAATTTTTATTATAAACTGAAAATAAGTTATTCTAATTGCTCGGTAGTTTTAATGTTAATAATTTCCCTCGTAAATTTAATAATTCAATTTGCACGAGTAGCAACTGCAAACTGCTATTTCCCCAGAAGTTGAATGCAAATTCGGTATCACTGATTTCTGGCGGGCAGATCGCAACAAGTGTCCAGCAAGTAACAATAGTGCGAGTATTATACATCCAGATGAGCGGGAAATTGAGAGGCTCGTTTAACCCAGACCACTATTAACACTAACCGCATTGTGAACTGATCAAATGTCCGTTTTTAAAATCTGATTAAAAATTCTGCACTTTCTTTCGTTCGTTTAACTTTATATCAATTTTCATATTTTCCGATTAATCGAATCTGCAGTTTTTGTCCTTCCTCTTGTTTCCGTTTCTACGAACAAAAATGTATCATCTAACTTGTTTACCTTCATTTTGTAAGCAATTATTTGACCGGTTAAC